TCAAACTACATTCAGTGTTTAGCCGTTATTTTCAGAGATGTCAGATTATACAGAGATGGAGCTGAAGTAGCCAACAATGGAGGGATTTTAAATGACAGAAGCTCTTTAAAAGCACCGGTTTGGGTTTCCGGATCTGGAAATGGGAACAACACGAGCCGGGTTCAGGGACTGGTCAGAGCAGCGCTGGGAGGAAGTCCAGGCGTGAAATGGATTTATAAAAAAACAAGCCGAAGAAAGAGAGAAAGGCGGAGAGAAACGTGTAGAGGCGTAAGAGCGTGACAAAAACAAACAGGGAAAAGTGTATCTGATCTAAAAAAGTGTTTGGTGTGTTATAAAGCTAACAGGATGCCTGGATTTGTTGCTTTTCACAACAATAAATTAGAGTTTAATATCAGAAAGTGAGTTTTTAGTGGAGTTAGCGTGGTGGAGGAGGAGGAGGAGGAGAATAATCCTGATATCTGATGCTGTCAAATGTTACCTGTTTTGGAGTCTTCCAGGGTGAATAGTGACCTGAAATGTTGAGAACACAAAACATGCTTTAGGGTAAAAAAAAGAAGAAGAATGATTGAAAAAAACTGGTGAAAACATAAAAAAATACATGAAAAGGCAGATGTGGATGGGAGAATGGAAATAACGTGCAACAGGAGACGACCAATGAACATGTACACCAAACAATCTCATAAGAAATAATTTCTAATTAGTGTGTTCACTGCAAAAAACATACACAAGCAATTCATTTTGAGCTTGTTTCTTTTTTTTTTTTTTTAGCTAGTTTCTTTTTCTATAAGACAAAGCTAGCTTAAAGTAACTTTTCCACAGGATATGGGAGCTTTGTTTTAAGTAAATAATTCCTTAATATTGATGAAAACATACAAATCCCACTGATTATTTCACTTATCACATCACTTTTTTTTTAGGAATTATTGACTTAAAACAATTTCCTACATCTTGCTGAAAAGTTCTGAATTATTTTCAGTGCATTAGACAAAAATACTTGGTAAGATTTTTTTTTTTTTGCAGTGTTTGACTTTTACTGGGGTATGAATATGAATAAAATCTGAGCTGAAGAGAAAAGTGGGAACAATTTCCCTAAAGCCTTCTTTGATTAATTTAAGGAGATTTGGAAACAACGTTAATTACATTTCTATAATTAAATATCAACTGAACACTAATACCATGTTTATACCGTTATATCGGCTCCTAATGTAAGAAAAAGATGATAATAGGCACTAAACTGCTTCATTAGGAGGAGCAAAACTGCAAAATTAGATAAATGTGAAAAAGTAAATTACAAATAAAGGACAAAAAACACATTAATGAAAATGAGAGGAAGAAAACTTAACAGAAACAGTGTAGGGTTGTGCTTATTTGAGGGATTTCTACTGTTTTTGCTTTGTCACCAATACAGAAAATAACTGAATTACTTGATTTTAAGATTTCTAAATTCAAAGCATGTTCTTCACCTGATAAATAATATCAGATACTCCTCAGCTGAGTGGGTTAACTTTTCTATCCACGTAAAGTCCAGCTTGCTCATGAGGAGTCGGGGATTGCGTCAGATTCCTGGTCGATCCGTCATACTGGCTTCTCTTACTGTTGTTATTCCTTTTCTCTGCTCTGATTTCAGATTTGTGTTGCTGTTCTTCTTCAGATTTAATACTCTTCCTCGTCTCTCAAGCATTTGACACAGATTTTGAATTCTCTACAGAAAGGCAGAACAAAAACATCCAGTCTGACTGAAAACCGCTCTGCACAGTTTCTGCTTTAACCTTCAGGCCAACCAAACTGTGTAGAAAAGCTGTACATAGTAAAATTAACTATGTAAATGTGGGAAAAAGATACCAAATGCCTGATCAAAATGGATTCTGGTCCAGGTAAAACATCATTTGGGATCCACAGTAAATTATGAGTGGAGTCCACTGAATTCATAAAAGCCTCTGTCATGTTATAGTTTACATCCGGAAACGCTGGAGGGCAAAAAGAGGATTCTTTGACATGGTATCCACAGCCGCGGTGCCGCTGTAGTACAGCAATGTTGACAACTCAGTGCAGTGCACCACAGCAAAGGGAGAAATAAGGCAGAAAAAAATGTTAAACAACTCAAAACCACTTTTTCATTCTCTCTGCGTTGCCTACGCTACACGCAGACTTGCTGTCATAGCAACTGATAACGCCGCCACTTTGTTTCTGGATTCAACACCGAAAACAAACATTTCCCTCACAAAAAAAGACCATTCAATCTCTTAGAGTATTATGTTTTCAGGCTTGGTGTTTGTTTGGCATTCATTAATAAATGATTGCTGTATTAGATTAGCTGCTGCTGCTATTAGCTAAGCTAATACTGCAGTGTTTGATTAGGTAATTTAAACAGATTCTGATAATCTGTCAGAGTTGGTGTTTAGGTCGCCTTTTTTTATTTTTTATTTTAACCGAAATGAAACACATAAAATTCCACAGCACATCTACATGTTACTGTTGTCATAGTCAAGCTAGCATAACTGAACTACTTCCCTCTCCCTTTTTTTCTTCATTAAAACTTTTCCAGGCCTTATCTAGTTTTTGTAGTGCTGACAATTAGTAGCAAAGGATTGCGTCTCTTTTTCTTTTACATATCAGGCGTACATTTAAGATTTAGCGTCTTATATTGATAACTTAACAGCTAAAACCAATGCTAGTCATCATTAGCGATCAACTTTTTGCCCTCCAGCAGGGAGATGAGAACAGATCTTGTGTACATGACGTCATGCTGGAAGGGCTCCAGATTTTCTTTTAATGGAAACAATGAAGTTAGGAAATGAAACTGAAAAGATTTTGGTCATTTTCCCTGTTATGTTCCTGTCATTTTTGTTTTTCACATTTGTTGCCGAGCAACTTCCCTTGTAGTGATTAGACTTTTCATGCGGCCACACGCTGACCGCACACATGTACAACCCGAGCCCTTCCATTAATTTTCCGCGCTCCCACTTCAAACATCAAGCTGTTCTTTCAGTTTCTGTGTTACCAGAAAGAACATTTAAATCAATCATTGATCTGTCAGCAGCGCCAGGAACGGAGAGGCAGAACGTAAACGCTGCGGCTTTCCCTTAACTGGGCTTGGTTTGTCACACAGCACAGCAAGGTAAAGGTTACACTTTCCTCTTTCTCTCTCCAATCCGTCTTGGGATGACCTTTCAGGAGGCATTTCACACATTTCTGCTGTTTGCAGCAACAACAAGCAGGAATCTACAAAAGAGAATTAGGGATACTGAAAAAAATATTTTTGTTTCCTGCACCACTGGGAAAATCAAGTCTTAAAACGCAACTCGACCAAGTAAATTTGGGAAAGACAAGAGCTCAGGTTTCCAAATTCTATAACAGGGAAGAAACACGTAGGTCATTATTTTCATGAACTTCCAAGAATGTTTGATTATTTAAAGTCAGAATCCTTAAAAAAAGAAGTTATTTTCAGTAAAATCAGAACTCAGAAAAATGTCGGAATTCTGAATTTTTTTTTTTTTAATTTTGAGTAAAATCAGAACTCAGAAAAATGTCGGAATTCTGAGAGCAAAGCCGGACTTCTGAGAATAAAATAGGAGTTCTGAGATAAAATAATTCTGAGTAAAGAGTCAGAATTTATTAAACTTTTTTTGTGGCCTTAATTACCTTCCATAGGAATCTGTCTTGGTTACCATAAGCAGTAACTAAAAGCAGGAAGTTGTTTGTCTTTAGTTATATTGACAGAACATGGAGAAAAAGCGCTTTATTTTTCTTCTAGATTTAATTCATCTCACTTTCTGGAAGTCACAAGCATATGCTAACACAGAAATCAAATTATGGGATGCTTGCTTGCCAGTTGTCCCACTGAGATGCTACTGGAATGGTGACAACGCAGGAAATTGCCAAAAGCTGCATCTTTCAGAGCAACGCTGTTGAAACAAGAAGCCTCGTCAGATCTACATATTTTCAGTTTTTCTGTCAGTAAATGGGAGTATTTCATCAGGACAACTACAGGAGACGGAGTGAGGTTTTTGCTTCGCGTGTTCCTGAGAAGGTCAATCACTAAAAAAGCCTCTTCAGAATACGAGCGAGCAGCATAACCAGAGCTGAGCCGCATCGACAGGCTACCAGGCGTCAGTGACCGACGCCGTCCACAGGGTGAAGTCCCTGTTAACTCAGGCATGGCAGACATTTAGTTGGACGCGAGTGTCACCGCGCCCTGTGGCAATAAGAGGAGAAAGTCTGGGCTGAATGAGCTGTCCGTGGCGCTGAAAGCTCTGCAGCGCTTATCAGACGTGTCAGCTCGGCTGCAGGGACACCGCAGAGTCCGACTCACTCGCTGCTTTTCAGCAAAGTGCAGCTCTGGCCTGCAGAAGCTTTCACAGAATGACGAACCTTAAGACGTTTCGGGTAAAACGGTAAAAATGTTTCCAGGGTTCGTCATAAAGTACACAGAAAAACATGAAGACATAACATAACTTTGGGCTGGGACTTTGACGCATTAATGACGTAGGTTTTAAGAAAAACGATAAATCTTGCTAATGAAATTATTGAGGTTGTTTTAATTAATTATGAGTTTAACTGATTTTCTGATTATGCAATGGATGATAAAGCTGCTTCTCTTGTCCCACTGGGTGTGAATTTCTGTTAAAAAACAATCTGACGGGACATTTGTTGTATTCAGGTTGTGCTAAAAGGCGTTGGCCTAAAATAGCAGCTAAATGCTAAATATGTAGCAGCAAAGAAGTTGCTGAAACAAGTGAAAGTTAAATGGGTATAAAAGCACTTTGTTAGCTTATTTACTGTTTTTAGAAATAGTAATTAGCTTTGTTGTTGAGCTCATATGTCTATTTATTCAGTAATTTAGCAGCTAAATGGGTTTTTGAATTGAAAAAGTTGGTCGATGTATAGTTTAATTAAAATCCAATTAATTACAGACCCTACAATTAGCTAGATTAAAAACTGAAATTGAGTTTCACTATTACTCATAACCTGAAGCTGTTTTATTAAATATTTCCACAATCGTGTGTTTTGGTCTTCATGATGTGTTTCCTGAGATCTATCTGCACTCTGGTGAACTCAATTAGGTGACTTTTGGAGGAAATTCAGGAATTTATTCAAGTTTATCAGGTTAACGTGTCTGACTATTAAGGTTGAAACGATTAATCATGATAATCGATTATAAAAATCAACTAATTTAGAAATCGATTGATTGTTAAGTGGCATATACACTCAAAAAAAGGACATTTCCTGGAGAAAAACCAACATATTCCAAGTTGTAAGCTAAAACTGTACAAAAAATATATATAAATTTTGCATTTAAGAATATAAAATATGTTTTACCCAAAACTTCTCAAGTTGAAACAATTTTCCTTTTTAAAAACAGAATGGATTTTTTTTATTCTTTTAATACATTTTTAATATTGTACATGTGAACAAAAAATCGCAAGTGGTTAAATGAAATACTGCATTTTTTTTACCCGATTAATCGAATAATCAGTAGCTTAGTAAAATAATCATTAGTTGCAACCCTACTGAATACTAATACATGCCACAGTTGTTTTTGTTTTGCAA